AGGTCGGGAAGTAAGGGATTGTTGGACGAGTATGAGTTACAAGGACGCGCGCCAGCGAGGCCTTGTATTAATAGGAGCCAATCCCCGTTCCTGCCGAGGCATGTATAGAAGTTTTCTGAAACAATGTGAGGAAATAATAAAAGACTAAAGAGAGGAAGGTCTGTAATAGAAAAAGTCAAAATATATTAATTGATATTAAAAGTAATATTTGACGTGTTAGGACAATGGCTAAAAGTAAATGTCTGCTGAACTTCTAATGATGTGTTTGAATGTGTATATATTACTGTATTTTCGTTATCGCTCTTTTCACTAGCACTCATTTTGGCGACCAAAATACAAAAAGGACGAAAAAACAAAAGAATACCAAAACACTAAGTTTAAATGTTACCGCCAATTTCTTTTTTTGAGGAAGCGGTACTGGTAGGTATTTTTAATTCTCCCAATTTTAGGCAGCTAGCGGTATGAGTTTTTTTTTTCCCGTTTACATAGTTCATTATTAGTAGGTAGATTAAAAAGTTTAGCGAAGAGGACAGTAATGGATTTTCGTACTTACTGTACAGGCCTTGGCCGGGAAGCAATCGCAAGATCCATAAAGACAAACTTTCCGTGTTCGTTTTTTGAAAGTAATGCAAACATTTCCGAGCCAAGCATTTGAGAAAAAGTATTTATCCAAATCACTTCATCATTATTATTTTACTTAACAATTTCTATTTTGTATATGTCACAATGTAGATTAACTACCTCCGGCCGAACGGTTATCATGCTGGACTGCCACGCAGAGGTCCCGGATTCCATTCCCGGGGCGGGAGAAATATTTGTATGGCCTATATTTACTTCTCTCCTGGGTTTGGGTGTAATAATTTGTGGTGTTCTATATGTTGTACAATTAATGTTATAAAACGCATCTGACACACCAAAAAAATTAATATACAAAAACTTTGTATATATTTGGCTATGATGTACTCACAACAAAAATGTGAGTTTTAATTTGGTAAATTTATGTTTTGTTAAAGAATGTTACGGAACAAAGTACAAATAACCCTGTTCTAGACTATGGCAGTTGGTGTTAGCGGGCTTTTTTTTGTAAATTACTACATATTTGTTTAAAAAAATAAATATATAACTTTCGCCTGTAGGTCGGCCAAAGTTAAATATTTACTGTGTGTGATTAGGATTCTATGTAAATTATTTTTGCATGAAAGACCATCACAAACTTGTATGTTTAGGCACAATATTTATTTCATTAAACAAAATAAGTAGAATTGTCGTTTCCAAGGCTTCTTAAAACAAAAGTAGGAGAAGTACCTATTTAACTTTTAAATTGTGAGTTGGCTGATTAATCCAACCGCAAAATGGCTTTTTCGTTTCGACGGAATGAAATGAAATCTTACTTACGTAATAAAAAGGGGACTAGAATTAATTTGTTTACTTATGTACTATGCAATGATCGAAGATATTATTATTTTTTATTAAGCGGTTAACTCATGTTGTCAGTTTTAACTGACCCAAAATTAGTTAACCCGTTCATGGACAGTGCTTAAATATTACTTCGCGTAAAAATATCACTATACTTCGTTTCAATCCATTTTAAACAAAGGTAAACAAACACCGAACAAACAAGTCACAGACTCGACCATAGACGGTTTAGTTATGGCCAATTTTACTGCCAGCTACAAATCAATTAATTAATTTAATAAATCGATTTGTTTAATTAAGTCACACTAGCGGTTTTCATTACACTAATAAATTAATTTTAATTTAGAAAAATCGTAATTTTCATTGACGTGAGTTTATGTTGTTACGTTTAAATCCAAATTTTGGAGTAAATGAAGTAGGATGGTTTCTTACAAATTTGCACGACTCAAATATGTATTAAATCTGCCAAGGTTAATATGCCTAATCTTTTTTTTTTAAAAAGAAGTATGCATTGTCTCTATTCTATAACACTAAACACTGCTGAGACACTACGCCAACTTAATATTTGGAACTGTTCTGTTTTTATTTTGGTTATTGTTTCTTTTTTTTTCACAAAATTCGTTTTTAGGTTTTTTCGAATTTTATTTTTTGTTTCTTTTTTCATAAAATTAGAGGAGCATAATATTAGTAAATAAATATGGCTGTTTACAAAACTAACAAAATGACCAAAAAATAAAGTTGGCGTAGTATTTATTGGAGGTATCGATTTGTCAAAACACAGTTTTTCTGTAATACAATTACCTCATTAACATTGCTACTTCATTTATACTGTATAAAATTGTGATAAGTTTCAGGCAGGCATTTTGTTATAAAACACTTACATTGATGTTTCGATGAATAATCTGACAGAAATGCAGATTTAGAAGTTTTTCCTTCCAAAACGCTCTGTTTGCGATTCGTGTGTCAGTATAGTGATAGCACTAGCTGAAACGACGTTTTGAGTTTCAAGCACCCATTGCCCCGTTTTCATCCGGGTCCATTCCCATTACTTCTATTCTTTGGGGGATATGAACATCCCAATTTTCTTTTTATAGATGGTAAAGATTTTTAGTATAACTAGATATTTTGGTTCACTTGAATAAGTAAAAGAAAGTAAAGAAAAAACGATGTGGATTAAGATATTGACGTGACGAACATGGAACAAATTATTGCTTTGATTTCTGAAGGCAATAATAAACTTTGTGAATTTATTAGTAATGGTGCAACATTTGTTCTTTTCTATCAAGTGATAATGAAAAAGCGGCGGCCGGAGGAGCATTTTTGGTGCAAAAGTATTTTCAATCTTAATTCTAGCATTTTGAATCTTATCTTCTAAAGAAAAATATTCGAATGGATTTCATGTGATTAGAACACGGAGTGCGGCACCGCGTAGCGACTAGTTCAAAGAGCCGCCGCTGCTCTTTCGGTGTTACTTGACCCTTAGTGAACAGGCTAATTAAAACAAATTGCGATTTTTAACCGACTCCAAAAAATGAAGAGGTTCTCAATTTAACTGTATTTTGAGTGTATGTTAAGCGATTACTTCGACACATTTGTGAACCGATTTCGATTTTTTTTGATGGCAAGGAAGTACTTCAATAGTAGTCTCATCCAAATTTGAAAAAAGATTCCACCTCTAAGGGTGGCAAATTAGGCGATTTATGCGATTTATTGGCTTTCATCCACTTTATGTTAACCGATAGCAATAAAACTTGGCAAATAGATGTAATAATTCCACAGATTTTTGGGGTCGGTTTTTTTATGAAAAAAGTTACTCTTTTACTCTTTTTCTTCTTACGCTTCGTGCGAATCCTGGGAATATCCACAACATAGGGGTGGAACTCCAGCCCATGATGACTTTCCTTCCACCTTCCCTGTCACCATCAAACGCTCCAGGTTACCAGCGTCTTTACGTGCCACTTGACCAAAAAAGCGTATCACACGTTGCATACAGATTGAAGACAGACGCTGTGCATTCACTGTCTTGAGTCCTTCAAGTACAGAGACATTGTGTGGCGGGCTGTCTACGGTATTCTTAACATTCGGCGTCAGCACCTCATTTCTCAAAGGCGTCAATCCTCTGTCTATCGACTTTGAGTATCCATGTCTCTGCACTACATAGAAGTGTGCTAGAAGAAAGTTATAATTATAAGACATTTTTTTTATAATATCAAGTGACGGGCCGAACAAGTGTTGCGCATGATGGTTAGCTACACGCCTGTTCATAACAATTGCAGTGCCAAATCGCAAAGTTCTGAGGGGCACTGCCACTGTGCCTATCACCGTGAGACAAAAGTTGACAGTCCCACGTACCTGCAATTTCACTAAATGATACGAACAAATGATAATAAGGTAACTTTTAACAAGAATGACAGAAAATCTCAAGCACTTATCCGGAGCCGATTTCATTAGACAAAATACCGACTAAGCACCCCTTCATTTTCATTACAATGCAGTTTCCAGACAAATCACTAAAACTATCTCTGTTCCACTTTGCATTCCATTTGAATTGTAAAATTAAAGTAATTTCTAGGTGCACAAAACTTTTCGGTGCATTATGACTTTCACATTTTCACCCATTATTTGAAATTAAATTCGAGACTTAATCCTATAAAAACATATTATAAACATATATACCGCACTTGGTCTTCATTACATATTTCTGCACTAGGGTTGTCGCTAGACCGACACACAACACTTATGATTTCCGGCGGCGGCGACTTGTTGGGCGATACTTGATGTCCCTTACTTTTGCTGGTGACTGGATTCCACGACGATAAAAGCTAAAAACCGTCTTCTCAGTTGAAATTAGCTGCCTCCGTGGCCGAACGGTTACCATGACGGACTGCCACGCAGAGGTCCCAGGTTCAATTTCCGGGCCGGGAGAAATATTTATGTGGCCTACATTTGTTAATTATTAATTTGTGGTTATCTATGTGTGTGTCCATAGCCACCGCGACACAGGGTTTCCCTAGTGCGGGACTATGTTAAGTGTGTGCGTTATTATTATTATTATTATTAATTACGATGATTTTTAATTTCAACAGCTTCACGTTCAATTCTACTGTAGTAGCGACATTCTGTAGAAAAGATTTCAGGATTATGAAGCTCGATCCAGTGGTTTGGCCCTGATGTATACCAGACCAGCAAATGTACACTGTTATATTACAAATGTCGAAGTCGCAATAAATTATGTGAAACAATTATAACGTGAGCACAGTTAATCTGTGACACGTCCTTTAGATGCATGGTGTCGCTAATGATTTTGGTACTGTAGCGTCCTAGGGGAACATGGTATGTCTGACACGCAGGTGTGTTCATCCAGCATTATCAAAGATTTTAAAATTGTTAAAAATTTGTATTTTTTTTACCAAAATAGCAAGCGACGCCGTGTGTATCTAGGACGGGTTAATAGCCTAGTAGCCGTCACATCGTACATGAAACCAAATAGCGAGGCCTAGGAGAGGACACTCGACCTCGGCATTCGAGTCGATCACGTTCTTATAGTTTTAAGAATTTAATAGTTATTGTTTTCTTACTTCTAGGAAGCGGTCAAGCAACTGACGTGGACGTACGACTAACAGGCCCAAGTTGGGTGGCTCGAGGCGGCTCAGCCACATTGACATGTGTACACCAGGTGCCTCCTCAGTTGCTTTACAAAGTGGAATTCCTGCGATCCGGGGCCAAGTTGCTGCAATATGTCCGGGAAAGAGTCCCGCCTTACACCAACTATACCTTCGCTGGAGGACGCCTTAATGTAAGATTCGTCATCAACCCATTTATATGTCCCACTGCTGGGCACGGGTCTCCTTTCAGACGAGGGTTTAGGCCATAGTCCGCCACGCCTGACCTAATGCGGGTTGGGGACTGCACACGTTTTCCGAGGGTTGGGAACCTTCTTCAACATGCAGGTTTCATCACGATGTTTCCCTTCACCCAAAAGCTCATGATAAATTTCAAATAAAATTTCACACATAAATTCCGAGAAACTCAGAGGTGCGAGTCCGGATTCGAGCCCACGACCCTCTGCTTGTGAGGCAGTAGGTGATTTACTGCCTCTCAAGCATGACGCGTCAAGCCATTAAGCTACCACGGCTGTTTCAATCTTTATCATTTAAATGTAAGATTGAATTTGTTTGGTTACGATTTTTTTTATATTCGAATCCTCAGCCCGGTGGTAATGTATACATAAGACTAAGTTATAATTCTTGTGAATATTTCTGGATTCTTACAAAAGGGTAATTTTCAGGTGACTTTTCCTAATTTCGGTAGCAATTTTAGATATTTAAATATTCTGGAATGTTATCATGAACTATTACTTAATATTCGAATGTAGTATTCAGAAATATTAGGGGTTAAAGTATGAAATTGCCGTTCTATTGCAATAGGTTCTTTGAATTTTAGAATCTTCATGGTTTGAGGTTTTCGAATGAAACTTTTTTCAAATGGTTTCTGTGATTTTTTTTTTTTAAATTTGAAACATTTGAATATCGACTTTCAATTGTTTTTGTTATTCAATTTAGACAAGAAAGATGGATACTGCGAAAATTCGAGTGATTTTTGAATACGAGTTCCGACGCGGAACTAACGCGGCAGAAACAGCCCGCAATATCAATGCTGCGTTTGGAGAGGGGTCTACTAATGAACGCACCGTGCGATTTTGGTTTAAACGCTTTCGTAATGGAAATTTCGACTTAAAGAACGAGTCACGAGGAAGACCGCCCACACAGGTGAATAACGATGAATTAAGAGAGATAGTGGAAGCCGATCCTAGTCAAACTACCCAGGAATTAGCGGCATGGTTTAACGTTACCTTACCCACAATATTGACTCACTTGCGTCAAATCAATAGAATAAAAAAATACGAAAAATGGGTGCCTCATGATTTGACTGATCTGCAGAAAGAAACGCGTGTTGAAACTTGTGTTGCCTTGTTGAACCGGTACAGAAATGAAGGAATATTGGATTAAAACAAAACTAGCTGTAAAACAGCCCCGACTCATGAATCGATCTTCACCATTATTGCTCCACGACAACGCGAGACCTCACACAGCACGAGAAACCATTTTGACCCTTCAGGAACTGCAGTTAGAAACCATTCGTCATCCTCCGTATTCACCAGACCTTGCTCCAACGGACTACCATTTTTTTCGTGATTTGGACAATTATCTACGTGACAAGAAGTTTTCTTCCCAGGAGGCAGTACAAAATGCTTTCACACAGTTTGTGCAGTCTAGATCGTCGGAGTTCTATCGCAAAGGCATTAATAACCTTCCCATTAGATGGCAGCAATGTATAGATAATAATGGCAACTATTTTGATTAAATAAATTTGTTAAAAATTTAAAACATAAACAATTTAGATTTTCAGTACAAATCGGCAATTTCATACTTTAACCCCTATTATTATATAATATTTCAAGATTCAAGTACTTAAATATTTAAATAATAAAAATTGCCACCAAAATTAGGTAGAGAAAACTAACCTGAAAATTACTCAATAAATCCCCTTGGAAAACGTGCGAAGTTTACAACCCGCATTGGGTTAGCCAGCTTGCCTAAGAGAAGACCCGCACCCACAAGTGGGACGTATAAATGAGTTGATGACATACAATACTAGAATATTGGATGCTGTAGATAAGTGGTAATTTGGTTCAGTACAATAGAAGTACGCAAAAAATAATCAAACAGACAAGTGATTTCAATTTTAGTAGTAGCTAGAAGACATCAGCCAGACGTCAGAATGGCTGGCCACTTTATTTTTTTAATAAAGGTACTAAATAGTAGAATATAGGTAGTAAATAATGAGCACAGTTTGATTTGTATATCTCGTTTGGCCTCCTATACCTCCAGCCATCCTGATGGACACATAAAAGAACACGCTAAATTAATTTTTCTTTCGCAAGTTTATTATATTACCTATTAGCAAAGTACAGTTTTGCCCCGTAGAGTTGCAATTTGAACAAGCTCTTGATTGTTTGCTAAATATGATTAAGTTTGTCGGTATAGTCTGTGTTTATTTTTCAGTAGCTCGTTTTAATGCAGCTTGGTTAGTAGTATTAAATTTATCATCAGCTCGCTGAAATTCATTGTTTTTTAGAACCATTATTATGTCCCTTAATTAATAATGCAGTTCCAATATTATTAACACAGCTCAGTCGTTATTTATAATGACCGGGCACATCAAATTCAATATATACAATACAGGTTGTCCCACAGCTATGCGGCACGGAGGGACAGTACTTTAAATATTGTAGATAGTATATTTTGCTTCATGAAGACGTTATTTTATTTTTGAAAGTAAGTAATATTGTATTCAAAGACTTACTGGGAATCGAAACGACTAAATGTGAAAATAGAAACACTGTAACAATTAATTCATTTTAAATAACATAGCATCGTATATGAAGGAACGCCTTTCATCTATACAATTTATATACAACATGAATAAATTTGATAGTGCCAACGTATTTACTATTAATCTTGTATAAGAAAGACGCATATTTTTTGAAATTGTTAAATATCTGAACAAATTACCGTTTATGTAAGAAAGATAAAAATAAAATACTTTTTGTGACAGATGTCCCTAGCGACGGAGAACTCCATCACAATAGAGCACCTGGACCCGTCCGCGTCGGGGCTATACTGGTGCGAGGTGTCTTTAGAGACTCCCATATTTACCGCTGCTTCTCCGCCGCATCAACTGACTGTCGTATGTAAGTAAAGTTTTAAAGATTATAAGAGCGTTTTTAATTTATTTTCGAAAAAGTTCTATAAAATTATATAATAGGAAAATGGCCGCCTGATGTATGCTTGTTTGTCCCTTTACGCAATCTCTCTATCGCGCCTGATCAGGAGCGTACAGGATTGCGCGCGGAAAAGCCTGCACGCGCACCGGGTTTAAATTTTTTAAGCTAACGTTCTTTCGCGCGCGATTGCCCGTGTTCGTTTTTGTTACAACGGAAAGAGCGTCCGTGTAAAGACTAATCGCGCGGGATAGACTACGTGAAACTGGCGCGTGTTGGGATGTGCTATTGCGCGCGCGACTGGTGAGCGCTATCGCGCTATCTTTTCCGTTTTTTTTTCAAAAACTTTACACGCACGCTCAATCGCGCACGATTGCTGTACCACGCGCGATAGAGTATCTGTGTAAAGCCAGCTATTGTGTTGCAGTTGCAAGAGCTAGAATTTTAGCCAGATCATTACATTCTGTCCTCCTTATCATAATTAACGTAATCGACATTTTTAGCGAAATTGAGTGATTAACATATCTGGGATCGCCGAAACAAGATCTACAACCCTCTCTAATCGGCTTTTTAATATCGAATTTGTTTCATCTGGCCAATCGTTATGTACGGCAGCGAAGCATGGGCCATCGAAGAAGAAACCAAACGGCGTCTCGATGCATTCGAGATGTGATGTTACCGCCGTATGCTTCGTAGCAACTGGATGCAGAAAGTCAAGAACGAGATAGTACTCCTGCGCATTAACACCTCACGCTAGAAGCGCAAAATCGCATCTCGGTCACGTGTCTCGACACGATGGATACCGACTGATTCAACTTATAATAATGTGAAAGGCTGAAGGCAAGAGACACGCTGGAAGACGTAAAAAGTCATGGTTATGCAACATAAGGGAGTGGAGCGGAGTCACGAGCGCAGAACAACTGTTTCGCTTTGCCTTGGACAGAGACTTTTGAGAGAGAGAGAAATTTGTCATACATGGCACTTTAAGAAAAATAATTTAGTTTCAGTGTTAGTGTTAAGCAAAATCAAGGTAATTGAACAGCATTTTTAGGTGCCAATATCTCAAAAATCACCGAAATGCAAATGCGTTACTTATAATAAGAAGGGCAATATTAATGAGTGACTTTTTTTATTAAAAAAAAATGCTTATTTGACCTCCAACTCACCTGATAATAATTCTTTATTGGATATTAAAAATTATAATACCTAGTGAATACAGAACAGTAATAGAAGGAACAAATCACAAACGGCACAAGTTAACAGCGGACCCCGCACTAAGCTCAAAGCTTGTATCGCGGGACCCAATATAATAGATAATGGAACGACGATGGGTATGCACACCTATTAACTATTCATTATCAGCTTGAAAAGGCCCATGTTATACCGTTCAGGGAACAAGTCTGCAAGCAGGGAATTCCACTTCGTAGCCGTTTGCCGTGTATGATTTCGAACGAGTTCTTAAGCTTTCGTGATTGCTATACATTGCAAAATGAAATAATTGTTTTGGATCAAAATCGCTTATGTATATAATTTTTTATTTTTAAACAAATCAACGTTTCGAACCCTTTACAGGTCCCATAGTCACTACTCACTGTAAAGTCACCTGTAAAGGTTTGAAACGTTGATTTGTTTGAAAAACAAATATACGCAAATTGAATCCAAAAACACAGTTTCATTTTCAATGTGATTTATGGTTACTAATAGGATCCCTGAGCGACTAAATTCAAGATCCATTGCCAAAGTGTAAAAGTATATTTAACTGCCTCCATGACCGGACAGTTACCATACCGGACTGCCACGCAGAGGTCTCAGGTTCGATTTCCGGGCCGGGAGAAATATTTATATGGCCTTCATTTATTTCTCTCGTGAGTTTGGGTGTAATATGTGGTTGTCTGTGTGTGTCCATGGCACCCGCGACACAGGGTTTCCCTAGTGCGGGGCTATGTTAAGTGTGTGCGTTATTATTATTATTATTATTGTAACTTGTAATGTCTAGTTTGAAATTCTACCATATGTTTTATCCAGTTGCTTACCTGTGATTTCGCTGGTATTTACGGTTTATCCTCTCATTCCGGTGTTTCGACAGAGTGTCGGATGAGGCAAATACAGTTAATCCTCTTTTAATTGCATTAAAGAACGCGCTCTGCACGGCAAGTATGGCACGTTCTAATTCAATTTTCATTCTTATTTATTATAAACATTCTCTTCATATTATTTATTTAATCATGGAAACCAACGGATTCAAACACTTCATAAAAACAGGAATAGAAACATACAGCCAATTACAGGTTTCCACCTATCGTTTCTAACAAATAAAACACGAGTATTTAACAAAACGAACTATAAACGGTATGACTGTTAACAACATGCACGTAGGCGCTGCTCAAACGTGTCTCGCGTCGGATACAACCAACAACTAGAAGCGAGTATTCTGTTTCTATACAATTAATATGAAATTTACACTGTTAACAGTCGCCGTTTGCAGCAGTTACCGGTTACTTGTATCAACATAATGCACACGTTTGCGCGGCGCCTCACACAAGGATAACAACCCAATACCTGCGTCAACAGTTCACGCTTTAACACATTACCATTACAATTAAACCAGATCATAATTGCTCAGCACACTATCCAAACTCTTGTTAGCTCTACGAAGAAAACTGCTTCGTCTATAATTTAGTCTTCGCTAAGGGAATAGTGAAGGCCGCTTCCCACGGCCCGATTTTCGACAGATCGCGCCGCGAGGGTTCGCGCCGACGACGTGCCGTGGGAAGAGGGCTCGCCCGTTTTGCCTTGATGAAATGGGCTGAGGGAAGCCGTCTTAACATAGCGTATAGTGTCTCATAGAACGTGTAGATACATTAAACGAATTATCACTATATCTTGGGGTGATCAACATTGTCGTTTTTGATGTTTAGAATGTATATTTATATATATAGGTACATATTTTAGTAGCAATAGAGCTCCTTGTAAAAGAGTTCATCCACGGAAGTACTGCCACCTTACTTATTTCTGCCGCCAAGCAGTAGTGTGAGCATTATTGCGTTCCAGTTTCGAAGGGTGCTGGTGAAATTACAGGCACGTGATACTTGTCAACTTATGTCTCAGGGTGTCGGGTGCAGTGGCAGTGCTCCTCAGATCTTTGCAAATTAAAGTTCTGAGTGGCACTGCAACTTTTATATTGCCGCGGAAAGGAATGGAAGAAACTTTTTGTAACCACGGCACAATGAACTTGTTGTGAATTTTGTAACGTACAAACTAAATATGAAAAAACCTGGTCGCGCGATTCCGTCCGTCTGACGTTAAGAATATCCACTGCAGTCTGCACTCGAGCAACAAGCCAACAAGTTTTTAGGCATATTCGATAAGAATGGCAAATAAAATCGTTTCGCACACTGAAATTAAGAATAACAAAAGGAAGAAGATTATGTGTCTAACATATTTTCTTAAAATAGTCTTGCTGATATTATTATTACTCAACTCAGCTTAAAAGTAATAGACACTTTAAAAAAATGTCACACATAACTTGTGACAAAATTTCCACAATTGATTTTTACAAAAAAAAATTATAACATTTATTTTACCTAAAATATGAACAAAAAGTCGCGAGATAATATTATACATAAATTACACTTTTATGCTGTTGGTTGTAGATAAATTACACTTTTAAATTACAAACACTGTATGCTTACCTTTAAGTTAATTATTACACTCTTACGGATCCATGGAATTTACATAAAATAGATTAGATTTTATTTAATTTTATTAGATAAGATTTTTCAAAACAAAATATAGACGTTCAATACCACAATAAAAACAATATGGCCAACATGCAATGAAGTTAGACGAATATCGCTAGGTTATGCCAATAAAAGAATTACAAAAATACTTTTCGAGATGTGAGGGTGGTCCAATTTAGTAGCTGGTCCAATATCCGATATTTTCCCATACTCGTATTATGAAATTACTTACTTTTACGCATTGGAGTCTCCTTTTAATTAAAATCTCTGTTCTAACAGTATCGCAGCACTATTAAAATATTGGGCTACTTTTTGTTTAAAATACATTAAACATTGTCTGGTATTTTCCAAAATGGCAAATATATTTTTACTTTATGCGATAATTTTGGAATGCTTCTAAACCTTTGAATGTAAATAATGTTTTCTGATGTTTTCAAATAGATTCACAAAAACATCCGCCGATCATAACGTTCGGCAAGCCCGATGTTGTGGTGGGAGGCTTGCTTAGAGCAAATTGCACGAGTGCCCCAGCAGCGCCTGCGCCGAGGCTCACCTGGTACATTGATAATATTAAGGTAAGTCTGTGTTCACCTGGTAAAAACGTACGAGTGGATATCTCCATAGAAACTTATTTAGCATTAATACCAGAGCGCAGAGCACGAGCGGTGTTACCACATGATGACTACGAGTACGTCCCATACTTCAGTGCCGCAAGAACTTATTCTATATACTAATTGCGAAAATAGACTGTTTAGTCCGGAACATTCTGTTTAGACCCACGCTATGCTTTAATTAACAAGAAACAAGACTATCTCTGAGATATTTTAGTAGATAGAGCTTGTGTTATTTCTGCTGCCAAGCAGCAATATGAGATTATTGCGTTCCAGTTTTGAAGTGTAGGGTGCTGGTGACATTACAGACACATGAGGCTTATCAACTTAAGTTTCAGGGTGACAAGCGTAGTGACAGTGCCCCTCAGATCTTTGCGATTAAAGCTCTGAGCGGCACTGTAACTGTTATTGATAGGAATGTCGCTTACCACCTGGCGCTCGACTTGGTCGCCCCGTCATTTGATATCAAAAAAAGACTTTGTATTTATATCAGATAACGTTTCAGGTTCCCGAAGAATCGATAAAATATTTCTCCTACCGAGTGTCAAGTTTAACTCGCACGAAAGGCGGAGGCGGATACCGTCACAGGAAACATCAGCACCGGTATATTGCACCAGAATTTAACTACACGGCCAAATACTGGGCTTTGGTCAGTGAGACGACTACGTTACCGCCACAGACGAACACAAGCAAACATCACAAGTGCACTTTAAAAGATGGGCAGAGCGAAGAAATGGCCAAGGTGGGTTGGGCACTGGGAGATCGAATGTTACATAAATATTTATATTGTTTTGAACCCTGATTATCTTTTTCCAACACGAATAAAAAAGATATTAATTAAAAGGAATTCTCGTGAATAAAATGTATACTTAAATAATGTAAGTAATAATAAATAATAATAATAACGCACACACTCAACATAGCCCCGCACTAGGGAAACCCTGTGTCGCGGGTGCCATGGACACACACATAGACAACTACAAATTACACTCAAACTCACGAGAGAAATAAATGTACACCATATATGCAAATATATATGTACACCATATATGCAAATATATATGTACACCATATATGCAATATATGCACCATAAGTACAAATATTTCTCCCGGCCCGGGAATCGAACCTGGGACCTCAGCGTGGCAGTCCGGCATGGTAACCGTTCGGCCACGGAGGCAGTTAAGTATTCTTGTATTAACAAGGACCATTCAACATGCGTACATTTTTTTATATTTTATTTAAATAACGTAAATAACAACAAGATTTTTCCCACGAATTAGATTTTTTTTACAAAATGAACCAACACATATGCATTCCTCATATAGATTCAAGAAAAACCGAGACCTCTTCCAATTACACCAATCTCCCTGTGGGTGTCGATAGCGGAGCTAAGAACTCCTGCGCACGGTCGTCTGCAGCTCACTTGCACCGCCACGATACCTGACGATGTGGGACCTGGAGAGAAATATGCTGACGTTAAGAAGCAAACTGTTACTGGTAAGATGTTTTGTGTTTTTGTAAACAAATCTACAATACGATTCTTTTTGATTGGTAGAGGGCGTACCCCCTCGCTCCAGCTTACGTTGGAGGGCCAAGCTTTTGACAGCAAAGATAAACATAGTTCCCTGTTAAACGTATTTCACAATTTTAACTATTTTTCAACGTGCAGCTGCGTACCATTCGATATTATATACCGACATAATATGATCGCGCGGCGGGTAAGCCGACAATTCATCACGTCACGCAATATAATTGAAAACAATTCGAAACTACAATTTTGTAAGGCAATTTATATCTGGAACCATTCTTTGTGGAATAAACGGTAGGCCCGGAAATTTCCAACTTCATTCAACAAAGTTTACACTTGCAAATGCGAGAACGCATTGGAATTTTAAACTAATGTAAGTACGGTTCTAATTGCAACACTTTGTCCCCAGTGGCAGTGAATGAGCTGAGTGTGAAAAGGCCCCATCTGGAGACAAGTCACTCGAACCCAATGGCATCTCGTCTTCAAAATTACCTACTTTGGCTCTTGTTTCAACTTTCCATTCAATTTAATTGAATATCGAAGTTTCGCACCCTCGCTTTCGTCTTCGACCATGATTTATGTGCCACGCTTATTATCACCAACACTTAGCAAATATTTCTACGATATCGATATCGAGTTGTTCTCGCGACTTGTCATTTTGCGGCCCAAAAAAGTGTTTAACGATGCAAATTCTGTTTCTTTTATAGAAATATCATTATGGTTGTACTTAGTTTTTTTATTGGAAGGTAATAAACGTCAATAAATATGTGAATGCGTGTTATAGAGGGTTATTTGTAAAATACGAAGAACCTCGCATATGCTTATGTTTCTAACATCTTAAACAACAACTTTTGTTCTATGACTTTTAATAAAGTAGTTATAATCTCAGTACAAAGTAGTAAAAAAACCGACCTCAAAAGTTCGTGGAATTACATCTATTTGCTATTGAAATCGGTTACCGATAAGTGCGTGAAATCGTATTCATCCCCTAGTGTGTCACCTTTAGAGAGGAAATATTTTCTTCAAATTTAAATGGGACTACTATTGAGGTACCCTCTTTCCAACAAAAAACAATCACCAAAATCGGTTTACAAATGCCTGAGTTATCGCGTAACATCATACAAAAAAACATACAGTCGAATTGAAAACCTTCTCCTTTTTTGAAGTCGGTTAAAAATTAAACTATGTTGTACTATATGACACTTTTTAGTCACACTTTTTAGTTTTTAGTCACAGTTTAGTTTAGTACTTTGTCCGTATTCTTAGCAACGCCTCTCGCGTGCTGTCATTCGTAAAAATAATTTTGTTACTGGGTGCTTTCTTTTCCTACCGCACAGGGTTAACTACTAAGTAATCTGTGACAGAGTCATCACCATCTAGATCTATTTAAATATTGTTATTTTCTACGAAAGTAAAATCTGATAAATAATTAAAAGCCACACAAATTGTTGATTACGATGTTAGTAATATGGTCTTGCGAGGTTGTAATATTTTACAAATAACCCTGTATATGCGACATATTAATGGAAATGATCTAATCCGTTTTGTAACGCAAAATAACAATAATGAGATACCATTACACAATTCACTACTTCAAGCAACCTTCGAATACAATAAAATAATTACGTAAATCTTACAGTATACCTTTTTGTACGTATTTTAATATTTTTATATTCGCCTCACTTTCAAGGTAAATGGTTGTCCTATGTATATTTTTCATTACAACAATTTTCCTATTTCTAACACAACACGATTTATCTTTAAAAACTATCTATTAAAAACAAACAGCTTAGAATTTTTTTATTGTGTTTTGTAATTAAATTTTAAACCGTAATAGATGTTAGATCATTGTTCTTTAATGATTATTTATAAGAGGGTGTTATTATACAAAACTTTCTACTTTGTAAGACCTCTCGTTTCTTCTTGAGCTTCAAAAGTCAATTATACGACTTTAAATCTCATCTGTAACTTTTCCGACAGGGTTTCATCAATTTATTAAAGTTTTTAATCGAATTCACCGAGAATGGGCTGTTATTAAGAATATCTTTTAAGTGTAATTACTTTATGGAACGACGGCAAAGAATTAAAACGCTTTTCATTATTTCAAAAACTAATTTCAACTGTTGCTTCATGCCTATAGCCACAGCACTCAGATTTTCTATCCGTTTAAGTAGAAAATGCACACTGAAAGAAAATGAGGTTGACAAAGGACCCTTTTTATGTTCTTCCTATGTAATAAAGTTTGATCGGTCACATTTGCGGTGCGTATCCTCAAAAATGTCAATTTACTTTAGGTACATGGAAAATCGAGTCCAAATTCAATTTACTGGCAATCTTTCTACATCGTTACCGTATCCATCACTACGATTTATTATTACCAATTGCTTATAATTATTACGATTATTTAATATAGAAAATAGCAATTACAGGTTCTGTTATACATCATCAACTTTAAACTTTCTAAACGTAATTCTCAGAGCGCGTTCAAATTAGCCGCTGTTAGAAGCGCTGCAGCAGCGCAGCGTGGCGGCCGCGCGTCTGTCGCGCTGCTGATGTGCGACCAAATTTTCCCATGCCCATTTTTTATCCAGTAGAATGTAATAACTGGTGGAACTGCTATCCCATATTGCAAGGTGTTTTTTTACATTCTGTATAAATTCTTCTATTCAATTTTCATCCATCGTGGTTAATTAGAAAAATTAATATGTACACCTCACTAACAGTGACTGCAACCGAGCGTGACTGCAGCGCGACTGTCGCGCGAAAGTCACGCGGCCGCTGCGCTGTTGCAGAGCTTCTAGAAATTGTATGAAAAGTGATAGTCGCGTGGCCGCCGCGCGGTTGCAGCGCTGCTGCAGCGCATTTAACTGCGGCTATTTTGAGCGCGCCCTTAGTTTTCTAGTTCCAAGTGAATTTTCAAAGACTTAACATTTCTACATTGCTACTGCTTGCAGTACTTGTACTTGTAGTAAAGTGTTCATATTTTAGTAACAATATATTGTCAGCCGGTAGTAGCTGTAAAGGTATCCGGCTGAGTGAAAAAAACGTTCATAGATTTCTCACAGGTGATTTCTCAAAGCTGTTAAACAAAGAGGGAGAACAAGCACAAAGAGAAATTCGTAAGTTCTGCTGACTCGATCACTAGCTCAGTTTGTGAGAACAATAGCTCCGATTTGGCAGACGGTCGCTGGTTCGGGTCGGTAATGAAGGAATTTTTATTTTTGTGTCTTTGATCTTTGTATCAATAATAACAAAAAATATTTTAATATCACGGTAGTAATACATCATGATATTCAATAAAATATTGCAAGAATGTATAGAAATCATGTAAGCACCTGTGAGATAAAACTAGTTCAATCGACAACTAGAAGTCTCAAAATCGTGTGCTGAAGTCGAAGCATTTTCATGCATTGCAATCTTATCTGAGGCAACCAATGTCATTATGTGAATCGGAACTCAAGGGTACAGGAGATGCTGAATATACACAGACAGTCGCGTAATAGAGAGTCTTATCTTTAACCTCCTAAGGCCCGGAGTATATCAAAATGTACATAATATGTGAAGCGATTCAGATTCAAGCAATATTATTTGTATGATCACGTAAATGCCCAGTGTCCATTATAATTAAAATATATAATTTAGATTTAGTGATGTATGTATATTCTATATAGGTATTTGGAAACTTACTTTAAACATTCGCGGTCTTCTACACACAAATCTTTTTCATGCCAAACTGATATGATTCTTGATTAGCTCTGAAGCATATTTTAGTACATTTAAATGTATTTTTGGTGTTTAGTGCATTTCCTGTAGTGGGTTCGCTGGGTCATAGGAGGTTAACAAATAATTCGCAACAACAAGTTCGTGAAATAATTTCATCACCAATATTATCATCTTCAATCCACGTAGCTCCCAACGCTGCTCCCAAGGCTTATAAGTAATGGGAGCCTTTAACGTGGTTTTCTTCATGATATTTTCCAGTATCATTAAAGCATATATCGCCGTTATACTGAATTAAGAATAATGAAATTTCAACGACGATTTTTTCTTGGGCATATAATGGTCATCCCACGCAAATTTGTAACGGTGGTTCTACATTTTATATTTTACCGAAATTTGAAAATGTTTGCATTTTATATAAGCAATTTTGTCGCGTTATCCTGAATTAAGTCATTTTCTGTGAAAATTCCAGATAACTAGTTTTCGCAGTATTACGACGATATAGGGTTATTTTTAAAATACTAACAAACTTGCAGGACTATATTACGACCATCATTAGACAACAATTTTTGTTCCAATTTTGAGCACACAAGCAATTTCATTCCTTCAGACTCAGGAACCCTGTTCACCTATGAGTTTCAAGATTACACTGGTCGATATAAAACTTATGACAGTTAACAATATTATTACGAGCAAGATAGAAACGAATAATTAGGTTTTTATTAAAAAAAATTTTATAAAATATAAATTTATTATCGATTTATCTTTAATTTTTTATTACTTTGTCTTCTGTAACCAATATAGCTACTTTTTTCAAACAACGCATTCTATATTTTTCTGTAAAATAGGTCTACTTGCCTAGTATGTGCTACATTATGTCGTAAGCGTGACAACATTTTAATATTTTCAATGCTTCTTTGTATTGACATAGTAAACTATATTACTATTGAATCTTATAGATCGAATTTAGTTTTTGAATTTCAAGGCAATGAACAAAAAAAATTTTAACATTAGACATTTTTGTTAATTACTCCTAAGTTAGAGGCATAGGTACTTAATTTTCTTTTCTAGGTTTAATGAATTTAAACTTATGATTAATCAATAATATTATATCTGTGCTTCATTTCGATCTGATGACAATATAGACGTAGAATAAAATGCATGAAAAAAATAAAAAAGTAGAGAAAAATATTCCTTGGAAACTGCTTTAAATGTTGTCTTTTAATAGTATCATGTAATATTCTGAAATATCTCTTGTATCATTCAGTAACACTGTTGTTTATTAATTTGTTTTCATAAGTTTCTTTCGTCATTCTTGGTACTCGTTGTCAACTCATCTCAAACCGCGATATTAAAATACAATATTTCACGAAACGTTTCTAAAACTATTTCACTTTCGAAATGATTTTAGAGTAATTAATTATATATCCTAGAGTAAATTTCGGAATTTTGCTTTGAAAAGTGTGTCGCTCTGTTTAAATATCCACTCTTCTAGTGTGATATCCCATTACTATCGACTATTCTTTCTTTCTAAAAAATCAGAATATTTGATGTAGGTTCCAAAGTGAGAAAGTATTTTGAGAATTCGAATATTATCTGTACGTGTAATGTATATTTCTGCAAATATTTTCGATATTATTAGAGTTACGCTGTGAAAAGCAGAGATATAGAAAAAATTAATATAATTGCCGACTGGAAATTGACTTTTCTATTATGCTCTTATAAACCTGGACCACAGAAGGCCGTAAACCACAGACAGTTCACGACATGGTAAACATTAAATGTACATAATACGAGATAATAAGAATATGAATGTGAGTTAATTCACGTAGAGGTAGCTATTGTCACATGACCGACTGGTACAAAGGCACAATATACCTACATTAGTACGTTATGCCTTTGATTGCTATATTCTACGTACCTTTTATTGCTTAGGGATTTTTATTGTTGTTGCCCTGACAATGTACCTACTTAAATGAGGGATTACAGAACCGGAGATGGTAATCCAGCACAAAAAAAAAGCCAA